CGTGTCTGTCAATCTGCAGACGGACTGAAGGCCTCAGAAGGAAGCAGGGCATTATCTGCTCGGCAACGATTTGCTGCAGCATCATGTGTGCTGGAAGTCAGTGTCTGGAACCAAAATGTTAATCACAGGGATCTCTATACATGGATGGCATAAATAGTACGTTTCTATATTTAAAAAAATCAATCGTGACTCACTCCCTTTCAAATAAAAGTCTCCCTTTGCTATTTCAGCGAATTGAATGACTGACTCCGGGCACTTGGTTTTTTTGTGTTCTAGGGTGGGCCTGTTTAACTCCCCAGTAAACTGCTGGATCTGTTAGAATTAGCTCTGTTCTTCCCTCAGGTGTTCAGAAAACACAAGCGGTCTCTATGACTGGAGGTGGAAATTGGCTCTTTCTGCTACCCTTCTCACTAAAGACAGGATTTACACTTCTGGCCTTGGAAACGTGTCTTGTTTTTTGGCTCTGAGGATTTTTTCTCTCCCGAGTGAGTCCTCTTTTTAGTATCAATTCTCTAGAATGTTAACAGAGTTACTTCAAAAAATAGTCCTGTGTTCAAAAGCTTGGGAAAAGATTGAAAAAATTAACAGATGAATGATTGGTTTCCACACTGCAAGACTTCTCAGTATTTATTTCTAGTAAAAGAATATAGTAGTCTGAGTTTTTCCAAGTGTGTTTGACCAAGTAACTTTTTTTTTTTTTATGGAATAGTTTGTGAGACTAGCTTTCTGAAGAATATATTCCGAGAAATGTTCAGTTCAAATGTCAAAAAGCTGAGGTGTGGTACAAGAAGTGCTTCATAACTGACTAGTCTATGGGCAAGCCTTCTAACCATGCTGGACCCCAAATTCCTCATCTGAAAATGGAATGATTATTGCTTCTACTTTCAATATTTAGTGATCATGAGACTATTCTATTATTGCTACTACTATTACAACTAGGTACTGTCACTTCTCATGGTAGACCCTTCTAAGTGGTTCATCCAATAGCACTCAACACCACTCCCTTCTCCTTCCAGTTTCCGTGCTGGAGGATGTAAAAGCTAAACACACACTTTATTATGCTCATGCAGCTAAAGATAGCTGTATGAAATGGTTTTGTCCATGGAACATAAAGGCACTTTTTAGAGAACTCTGAGAAGACTTTTGCTTTTCCTAATAGGAGGATGCAATGCATGGAGCCATGGCAGTCATCATGTAACCATTAGCATAGGTGTGTAGAACAGCAGAGCTGTTAGCTCTGGAAACATAGCCTTGGAGGAATATTGGGAGCAGTTTACCTGCATATTTCTTGTGATATGAGGGAAAAAAGCACACACACAATAAATCCTACAGGTCTGAAAATCTGACTTAATCTTTCCTGCAGCTGAACACATTTCTAAGTGGCTTAGCCATCATTTATTGAGTACTCTCTATGTATTGATACTAAGAATTTAACACATATTACTTCATTTACTCCTCACCAACAGGACTAATTATATACCATTTCACAATGGAAGAAATGAATTGAAGTACCTTGTTCAAATTCACACAGTACTCTCTAGGTCTCAATAGATTGGCTCAGTGGCATAGCATTCAAGCCAGAGCAGCATAAGTAACAGGGGTAATTTAGAATAAAATGTGAAAGTATTAGAAGCACCCAAGTTTACTTGTTTGCCATTACTTAAGCCCTAATGTGACAGGCAATGTGATACACACTGTCCTTTATAAAACCATAAACTAAATAGAGAGGTAAATCCATGCATAACCAGTTATATTCTATAATGTGATAAATTCTTTGTTTGTGTTCTGAACATCTTGAGTTTGGATCACAAAGTAGACATAATTTGAGAGCTCGTGGGAGGCATAGAAGAAAGGAATTTTAGTTTGAATCTAATTTCTTTCTTAGGACTATAGCGTAAAAGGAGAACCAGGTATGGTATGTATATGATTCAAGGGTATTATAGTTTTCTCTGGCCTTTCTTCTTCTCCACATGAAAAGCAGGTTCAGCCTGAATATCCTGGCTAATGACAAAACAGAACTCTCTGTATAATCTGACTATAGCCTGCCTCAGATGTGACCACAGGATCACATGGACAGACATGGGTTTGTTAAGATCGCATACACAAAACCTAACACTTGCCAAAGGTCCCTTCTTTCTCTCTTTGATAGTTTAATACCCAAATGTACTGACTGAAAAATCCAGTCATCAAGAAGTAGAAGGCACTGTAGGGAAAATGAGTTAAAATAATGCTCTAATTCCTAAGCATTCTCATGTTCTGTTGGCACTCTCAGTACATTTTGTTGTTGATGTTGCTCCTTTGTTTACGGAAGTACAAATGACACAGTTGAACATAGTAATCTAATATTAATAGAGGAACATAATCTAATGTTGCTAGAGGAATATAGCAAAACATGAGATCAATGGATGGGATTAATGGCCTGATTCTTTGGCAGAAACTGATGACCACAGGCGTGCAGGGGATATTTGTAATACAGGCTACTGTAGGCTTAATTTGATGAAAGTGGAACCACTAGAAGTAGTAGTATGCACACTTGAAGGCAAGGGGAAAATCCCTATCATATCATTACTTCCCAAATCCATTCGTTCAACAAACATACCAGCAAATGATGATTGAGTATCTTCTATGTACTTCTTTGTACTTCTAGACATAGAGGCAACATAAGGAACCAGGTTACAAGGTCCTCACACCCAAGGAGCTTACCCTGCTTAAACTGGGGCAAAGGGTGTCCTCTATAGTTTGCCAAGAAGTTGAATAATGTAATGGTGGAAATGCCCTGAAAGTATGGAAATGCCCAGGCTGTATGATCAACGTATCTATAGTACTGCTTTTTATTATGCTCTCTTTGTTATTAAGATCATCCTGGTTGCATATCTGACACAAAGATTTTCAGATGTGGAAGAAGACTGACAATTGTTAATAATAATAGCAAACACTGAAAAAGTGCCTACTGTATGGCATTCACTTTACACATATTAGTCATTTAGTCTCACAGCCACTGGATGAAGTATGTATTTCATTATCTCCATTCATCAGAGGAGGAAACTGAGGCATAGAGAGGTTAAGTGATTTGCTTACAGTTAGGTCACACAGCTAGCAAGTGATGCTGTCTGGACTCAATCCCAGTTCAGGACCCTGCTATCTTCAATAAAGTACCCACTGTGTGCCTGGACTTTGCACATGTTACCCTTTTCTCTCTTTACAATTTTATGAACTAGGTGATATGATCTCAATTTGGAAGATGAAGAAATTAAGGCTCAGAGAGAGGAAATGGTCAAGCCAGTGCTCACACTCAGGAGCACCTGGCTGTGAAGCTAGTGCTCTTCACTATGGCTCCACGCTGTCTCTCCAAGGAGCCTGCCCTCGAGGGCTTCAGGGTGCTTAGGCACAGACTCACAATTCTGTCCCTTTAGCAATGTGTTTGTTCTATCTATCAGGATGCCAGGGAAGATTTTATTTACCGAAAGAGTTTACAGAAAGGCTGATAAAGTAAGTTTGACAGAATAGATTTCCTTCGACAAAATAAAAGGCTGATCTTGCAGAAGTTTCTGAAAAAAAAAAAAAAAATGTTTTAGAGAGGAGTCAGGAAGGCAGATGGAAAATATGCCAGCAGGCTTGAGATATGGAAGTCCTTCTGTGTATAGAACATGACATCTCCAGGATTTATTGAAGAGGTAGAAGACATAGTTTTCCCTGAGGTTTACAATTTAGTTGACTACCTTGTTCAAGGTGCAAGGAAAAAAATGAGAGGCATATAGGAATTAGAAAAGAATTGAAAGAGGCAAGGATACACGTTAATAATGCAAATAAATTGGGCCAGGTGGGTAACTCTAAGTATCCTATGAGTCTTATTTTGCCCTCAGCAGACCTAGTATATTTACCATCACTAAAATTTAGGCTTTGAGGAATTAGGGCTGATGGAAAATAAGACTTTTTATGTAGGCTAAATGATGGTATAAGAGAATTGTTCAAGCAATATTATTCAGCTATTTTTATTCCATTTGAAAGATAGTTACCTTTCATTTATTTATCTAGATTTTAGGAAAATTGTCAAATCTCCGTAGAGTTAGAAGATAATGTCCTGACTAGCTCTTTTGATATGTACCTCCTTTTTTTCTTCTTTATTTTATTTTCCATAAGATTTGTACTTCTTAAAGAGATGAGGTCCTTATTCCCAATTCGACAACTTATATGGCCTTTTTAACACCTTCAAATTTGTTCCCAAGCCACTGATAAGATGTTCTCATTGCCTTTGAAGCACCTTTGGGGGCATTTATCATATAAGGTAGTCCTTCACATGGGGGGAAATCACTGACTGTTGATTTCATTCTTTTCAGATGGCAATTGTCCAGTATCAATACCTGTGGGCTGGGTGGGATGAGACTGTGGGCAACAGAGAAAGTGGGAGACTGGCTAGTTGTTCAGAAAGATTATATTCAAAGCTACTTTGCTCTCTTGTCTCTTTCATCCACTTTGACATCTCTCAGAAAGTGCAAGTTTCCCATTAAGAACAAATTCTACATTCTCATGCCTCCACGAGCTGGGCACATGCAAATGCAGTCACACACGTGTGAGGCTCCTGGTATTCTGTTCTCAGCATCAGCTTATTTGTTAACAATAATTTTCTCTACTCTTTTCTGGAGAACTAGAATCTAGTTTGCAATGTATTTCTGTCCCCTCTGGACCTGGAGGTCCTTGCCTTGGCTCAAAGACTTAACTGTGCTCTCTCTGCCCTCTCGACCTTATCCCCCTATGGATGTAACTCTTTGCTTAGTCAGAGGTCTGCAGTTCTATGTTTCTGCCTCGACCTAAGTCACTGGGTTCATATCCAATTAACCGCACCAAAACCATTCAGTGAAAATGTCTGAAGCCCTTTTCCCAGCACCCTGCCTCCTTTAGTTTCATTCACTCAGACATGTTCCATTTCAAAGACCCAGGAAGCAAATGCCACCACTTCAGCAATAGGGGCCAGTGCCCCACAGTGTCCCCACAGCTTTTACCTTAGGGTTTCCCCAGAGGAGCCTCTCCTCTTCCACAGGTTGACTAGGCTGCTGGACCTGCTGGCGGCCGAAGAGGACTTTCCATCCCCCACGTGCATGCGCACCACGGTGGATGTGGTGAAGGCGCTGCGCACGTTTCTCTCTGGTTTGGCCAAGATGATGTACACCTTCGGCACAAACATGCAGCCTAGCGCCACCGTGGCACTGAGGCTGACTGAGAAACACATGGTGATGATTTTGTAGTTGCTGCCAAAGTAGATTGGCACGAAGGCCAGCCATATAATGCAGGTGGTGTACATTGTGAAGGCGATATACTTGGCCTCGTTGAAGTTAGCTGGAACATTTCTGGTCTTGAAAGCATAGAAGGTACAGCTCAAAATGAGCAACCCATTGTATCCGAGAGGAGTGACAACTCCTAGGTTGGTTGTATTACAAATCAGGTAGACTTCTCGAATGCTTGGGTAGTCATGCATTATATCAGGAGGCTCCATTATAAAGAGGGCAACGATGATGCCCAACTGGATGCATATGAGGATGAAAGCAATCACTAGCTGGGCACAGGCACTCATGAATCGTGGCTTTTTGGTACAGATCTTCTTCTTGCTCCCAGCCAGGATCCTCGCAATACGGTTGGTCTTGGTTACCAGGGCTGAGTAGCTCATGGCTGGGGAGAGACCAATGCCGATTCTCTGAAGGTAGCAATAAATTTGTTGGGGCTTTGCAATGAGGCAGAAGGTGCATAAGTAGCCCAGGCAGATGCCAGCAAGGATAATGTAGCAGAGTTCCCTGCTGGAGGACTTGACTACTGGGGTATCACGGTAAATGATGAAGACTACGGTAACAAACAAGGTGGCCAGCAGGCCAAGGCAGGCAAACACCACAGCTGCAATGGGCTCAGGGTCACCCCAGCGAAGGTACTGGACTGGGATCAAATCACAACCTGCAGAGACACAGACACATATTGAAAAAGAAGGAAGACACATTTACTTGGGCCAGTTGTGCCTAAGTTACAAGCAGCTGCTTACGACCCTTTCACTTTGTCTACCATTACAATCTCAGAATCCCACAGTACTCGTTTCTTCATATATTCATTCATAAAATATTTATCTTTATGTTATTAATACATATTCTGTGATAGGAACTATTCTGGTTCTGAAAACAAAATGATGAACACCAACACACTACCTGCCTTCATAAAAAACAATCGGTGTGGAGGGGTGCACGTCTAAAGAATTACAACTGTAATAAGGGCCATGAAGAAGTATAGTATAGATCCTGACCCAGTCTATGGAGCAATAAAGTCTTCCTTCAACAGAAGTTAGCAAATGAAGGTATTGGTTTGGCTGAGTTTGGGAATTCAGTAGGTTTGGCAAACAGATTAATTGTAAGGAAAGAACTAGAATGCGTTGGAAGCAGGAAAGGAGGCCACAGTGCAATAGAGTGATGAGTGGCTGAAGATGAGGCTGGGAGGTGGGTGGGAGGGGATGTTGCAGGGCAGAGTCCTAGATCAATGGGAAGTCATTGGAGGGATCTATATAGAGTAGAGGAAATGACATGGTCAGATTTGTGTGTATGTTTTAAACATTCCTTTGGTTGCTGTGTGGATTTTGGATGAGATGAAGGTGTGGACAGATTTGAGAGGTGTTTGAAGCAGTACAGAGTGGTTAAATGGATGTGGAGATACATGAGAGGTAAAGTCATCAAGGATGACCCACATTGGGTCAAACTATGCTGTCCTTGAATCTACTGGATAGAAAAGTGTGGATTTTCAGAGAATCATATGATTCCAGTGTAACAGAAGAGAATATAGTGTTTTAAAAAAAGAGTGTAGTAGAAAAAAACTGACCCAAAGGCAAACAGTTGGCCTTTGTGGCAAGTGCCAATCTCCCCAAATTATTCTTTACTCGTGGCTTGCTGTTTATTTATTTATTTATTTATTTATTTATTTATTTATTTATTTATTTAAATGTTACTTTATTATACAACATAAAAAAGCAAGAAAACTTGGCCCTGGCTGGTTTGGTTCAGCAGTTAGAGCGTCGGCCTGCAGTCCTGAGAGACCCGGGTTCGGTTCCCGCTGAGGGCACGTACCTCGGTTGCAGTTTGTCCCCGGCCCTGATCGGTTGTGCGGGTGGCAGCCAATCGATGTGTCCCTTTCATGTCGATGTTTCTCTCTCTCTCTGTTCCTCTCTCTCCCTCCCACTCTACCTGAACAAAAGGTTGAAAAATGTCCTCGGGTGAGGATAAAAAAAAAAAAAAAAAAAAAAAAAGCAAGAAAACTTGGTATTATTTGAGTTACATGCCTTCTTTTAAAATTTCTCTGGGACAGTAAAGTCTCAAACTTGGCCGCACAATGGAATCACCAGTAGATTTAAAAAACAAAACAAAACACTTTGTCCTCGGTCTCACTGATAGGGTTTCTGATTGAACTAGCCTGGGCATCAGGATTTTTTAAAAGGTACTTTATGGCCCTGGCCAGTTTGGCTCAGTGGTTAGAGTGTCGGCCTGTGGACCAGAGAGACCCGGGTTCAGTTTCCGCGAAGGGCACGTACCTCGGTTGCAGTTTGTCCCCAGCCCAGGTTGGCGTCGTGTGGGAGGCAGCCACTCCATGTGTCCCTTTCACGTCGATGTTTCTCTCTCTTTCTCTTCCTCTCTCTTCCTCCCACTCTATCTGAACAAAAAATGGAAAAATGTCCTTGAGTGAGGATAAAAAAAATAATAAAAAAATAAAATAAAGGTACTTAATGTACTTTTTATTTTTTTAAATTTTTTTTCTTTATTGATGTTAGAGACAGAGAGGAAGGGAGAGGGAGAGAGAGAGACAGAAACATTGATAAGAGAAACATCAACTGGCTGCCTCCTGCATGCCCGCCACTTTGGCCCACAACCTGGGCATGTGCCCTGACTGGGAATCAAACCAGTGACCTCTTGGTGCATGGGTTGATGCTCAACCACTGAGGCACACTGGCTGGGCCACTTTATGTACTTCTAATTGTTCAGCTGAAATTGAGAGCCACTGCTCTAGAAAGATCATTCCTGTCAATTAATTAAAAAAAAAATACAATTGAGATTGCTTTATTGTGAGTAGGAAAGGAGTTCAGGAATGCGGCAGAGCTTGCTAATTGCTTGAAAATATCTATTCTCCCCTTTATCCTCAAGAACAGATCTCCAATTTGATTTGGCAAGGTAAAGGATGTGACTAAAACACTACATTTCCCAGCAGCCTTTGCAGTCAGATTTGCCATGTGACAAGGTTTTAGCCAATAAGATGTAAGCAGAGAACTTTTTAAAAGGAAAATGAATCATCTTGGCATGACCCTTTTTGTCCTTCCCTGCTTTTTGCTTTAGCTGCCTGGAGTATAACATGTTGGCTAGAGCTCCAGCAGTTATCTTGGAATGTAAGGTAACTTTAAGAGCAGAAAACATGTTCTGGGTTTTGGAAGAGAAGATAGAGAGTGAGTGCCCTGGTTCCTGTTAACCATGGGACCACTGACTGACTAGCTCTGAACTATGTACATACATCACACTTACCTTGTTTAAACTACTGTGTTTTTTTTTCTTATATATGCACATAAACCAAATCCTAATTGATATAGATGTAAGGTTCTCCTATTAACTGCCCATATCTCATGATCAAGTGTGTTGTAGTGAGTGGCTATGAAAATCAACAATTATTGATAGGTAGGGGAAGGTAGCAATAAGTAATAATAGCAAAGAAGCATATGGGTTTTTAAAAGTATTTCTAAGGCACTTATGTTGTAAAAAGGAAAGGGAACATTCTTATTTTCATTAATTTTGCCTTGCCAGTCTCTTTCTTCACGACCTCAGGTTTCAAAGTGTTATTGGTATTACAGTTAAACTCACTATGGGTTTAATAAGATTTGTGAGTTAGCCTAGGATCCTCAGTACACTTTATAAAATTGTTTCCTTGGAAAAATGCATATTTGTTTAAAAAAATGTACATTTAATATTGAAACAAAGTGCTTTTAACTTGAAAGAAAAGGCTGTGGATAGCCCAGATTAAATATAAGAGAGATATTAACATAATTTCACTAATTTTAAATACAGTGATACCTCAGTTCTCGAACATAATTCGTTCCAGGAGGACGGTCGAGAACCAAATTGTTCGAGAACCGAAGCAATGAAACCCAATAGAAAATAATGGAAACTGGATTAATTCGTTCCAAGCCCCAGAAAATGCCATATTTACTGGCCTAATTTGTATATAATATGTAGAAAAACATAAGTCTCAACAAGAAATAAAAGTGTACAGTATGTCTAAGGGTTAAATTCAGTGTAAAGCGTGACTCTCTCCACAAAGCGTGACTCTCTCTCTGCACTCACACTGATGACGCAAGCAAGGCGCGCTGGGCCGAATGAACCCCAATTCGGCTCAACTCGGCTCATCTCGGAAGTTCGAGTTCCAAATATTTGTTCGGATTCCAAGACAAAAGTTTCTCGAATCTCCTGGTCGAATACCGATTTGGTCGAAATCCGAGGCGTTCGAGAACCGAGGTATCACTGTACATGTATATTTCATTACAAATGAATATACCTGTATCCATATTTTTAGGCATCTCTGTTCACATATGCTTCTTATATGTAGAAATTCAACCTCTGAGACTTTATATACCATAGGGCATAGGTTCATATTTATAAATCTGTTTCTTGTAGGAACTATTATACAACAGGAAAATAAGGATTAATTTATTCTTATTCTTTCATAACAATTTATTTATAAAACTAATGTGAAAATGAAATTTGCTATCTACTATAGTTAATTCTATAGGGACCAGTTTCCCTTGTTGGTCATAAGCTACTAATGTCCTAGTAGTTTACTGATATAGCAAACATGCTATATGATACCTGAAGCAGAAATCCTTTCATTAACTAGAGAGAATCAACTGAAAAAAAAATTTACTTTAAGGGTTTTAATTTTACTGTCTTCTTTTTTTTCCCCTGCTGTTCTGTTAAATCTTAATTGCTTTTATCTAAATGTAATTAACACCCTAATTAATAAATGTTTTGCATGTGGTAACATTTACCTCTATTTTTTTGTCAACTCCTCATGTGCAATGAATTAACATCATTTGTGAAATTAAAGAAAACCCCATTAGATATATGTGTCGAAGGAAATGTGCATAAAGCATACTTCTAATGTGATGTTTTAATTTTCACAAATTTACCAGAATTTATACATTCAAATGAATGCTTTTTTTTTCACTTAATGTGCACCATTCAGAAGGCTTTATGTTTAGTTTAATGATTCTGACATTGCACAAAATACTTTTGTAACTATTTTCTTGGAATAGAAAATTGGATTCTGATTAAAGTGTTATAATCACTGAATCTTATAATTGGATAGGATCTTAGAGGTTTCCAAAAATGGATGTGCATCACAATCATTTGGAGAGCCTATAAAAGTACAATTTGAAGGTCTAAACTTAGGAGATTTTGAATCAGGACAAAGGAATCTTATTTTGAATAAGCAAACTCAATGGCTCAATGACACATAACTGTTCTTGGTCCTTGGTTGGCAACACAGCCTTAGAGATTGTCAGGTTGACTTCTCATCTAGGGTGCAAATATCTTATATAATAATTCAAAGATGTGATCACTCTAATCCTACCTAAGGCTTTCCATGAACTACATTGTCTCATGGCCAGGACTAGTGGTGGGGGAAGATAGACTGGAAAGGCAGGTAAGGATGGCAGGTGGAGACTGGAGGCAAATAAACTGGTCAGAAAGGCTATCTGAAGAGGAAAGTCAAAGGATGATAGGGCAAAATCTAAAAGTCACTGTGTTGAAGAAAACATTCAGCTAGTAAAGAAATTTTAGAGCTAGGGTTGAAAGAAATTATGAGAGAGAAGAATCAGGAGAGAGGCTTCTAACCAAGTTGATAGCAATGCTACTAACTAAGATAAGGACTGTAGGATATAC